ACATGTGAACTATGTAACTATTATGTAGTTATCATGTTAATTTATGTGACTGATACACAAAAGGTCATGATGGTCAGGAATCAGAAAGGGTATGTGCACAATGATAGCCTGGACGTTGCCCGAAAGATTCGTCACCCATATTAAGACCGAAAAAACCATCCACCAAGCTGACAATTCCAAGAACCCTTCCAGAGGTGTAACTTCTGCAATATGATGCCTACAGTATGTCCTTTAACATATTTTAACATGATCGAACCATGTTGAACCTGGATAATGCATGAAAGTTTGTAATCCTGAAATCATGTCTCTGCTCCTTGCTTGATTAGATTGTCTCCGCCGCGCTCTGGCAGACATTTTAAACGCCATTTACGGTTCATGACCCGGGTCAGGTGATGGAAACCCCAATTTTGTATAATTTTGTTACATCAAATAAATCGATTTCCCACTGTTGTCCGCAACTATGAATCTATGAAGCAGGTCTAGTGACCAAAGGATGTCAACAGGGACAATAGCCCCCTCTGTCTTAAGGACATGTTGTCACCCCGGCTCTGGGTGCCGGGGAGTGCCAGTGACGTGCCGCTGCCGGGGTAGGACGGCTTTTGTGCCCCTTGATGGGCGGTTTGAATTGCTGGACGAGAACTGGTTCAATCCAAATGAAGACACCACATATTTCAATATATTTCCTCTATAGCTATGAAACCCATAAAAGGACTGCAGCTGTGCAGCCTTTTGGATAGCTCAATTGACAATATTGATATGAAATCCCAGACCCTGAGTTTACATGTGTCAAAATCTTCCCTTCCATTCAACTCCAAAACTGCTCTTGATGCTTCCTTCTCTCCGTGCTTCAGACTCTTAGCTCTAACGGTTTCCGCAATCACATGTTGGGATGGCTTCAATTGGTTGTTTCTCAAAGTCTGAGACCTCAATTGCCACAGCCACCATAACTATCCATAACTGGTCTTTGTCACGAGAAAAATTACGCTTTGTTGGTGTCTCAGAGTTTGAGAAACCCTGGCTGTGCTAGACTCTCTTCCGATTTGGCTGCTGGGTTGGGGCATAGCAATGTGGCTTTACCCCGTCAACTGGCCACGCGGTCATCCGATCTTCTTTCGCCAAAGGAAGACCTGCCGATCCAGAGCGACTGGGCCAGGTCCCTAAGTTTGATGTGGATAAAACGGATCAAAGTTACACACACCAAGCTGGGATGGTTTACCAAACATAACCAATATCTGCTGTTAAAGCATCACGTAACCGCGCACTGTTCCGGATTCAGTACTATTTACAACTTCCACAATTGCATCAATTTTGCAACTACTCGAAAGCAGTAGGCATCGTTCAATAGTTACTGTCTTATACTGTCTTCACCTCCCCAACCAAATACTGATACCAGGCATTGATTCCAGCCATGTTTGCTTGCAATCAGACTGAGACCAGCTGGGTTGTGCTCCGCCTCTTGTTGCTTGAAGTATCGTCGATCCTCTTCATCCACAAGGACCAAATTCAAGAAGTATCTGGCGCTGATGGCAACGATGGCAGTAAATGGATGGTGCAAAATCTAGCCCATGGGACGCGGGACATCTGATCATTTTCACTAGTGAACTATCCATTTCAAATCCAATTCTAAGGTTGGCAACTATGATCCATACTACTGAAAACATTGAACACCCTCTGCGGTTTTGAAGTTTCGGACTTAGTAGTAGTAGTAGTAGTAGTAGTAGGTAGTAGTAGGTAGTAGTAGTAGGAGTAGTAGGAGTAGTAGGAGTAGTAGGAGTAGTAGGAATAGTAGGAGTAGTAGGAGTAGCAGGAGTAGTAGGAGTAGTAGCAGTAGTAGCAGTAGTAGGAGTAGTAGTAGCATAGTAGTAGTAGTAGTAATAGTAGTAGTAGTAGTAGTAATAGTAGTAGTAGTAGTTATCAGGACAGGGATTATATACTTACTCGTCAGAAAAAAGTCTATGAACAAAATCATAATCATGCCGTATTATGGCTGTTGATTGCAGCTCCATCTGGTGGCTTAAGTACAGGACGCAGCAACCTGTTGGACTGTGCTCTCCCCCTAGGCCTCACTGAAAATTTGTTTTGCACATTCCTTGGCGGCCAATGCTGTGGACACCCAGGAAGAACACAAGAAGTAATGCTAGGGCTTCGGAGACCCTGATGAGACAGCCTCGTCACTGGTGTGAAGTGTATCGTATCAAGTATCGAGTTGTACAATGGACGAGTCCACATGATATTTTTGCATGATTTCATAGTTTTAATATCATTCTTCTGGACCTGGAAAGTTGGGCCCTTCTTCACAAGGATTGCAAACAGAACCAGAAGGTCCGACACCATGGTGTTGGGCAGTTAAAACCAACAGGACAATGCTTCTTTGAGGTAGCCGCCGTTGAATGGACGTAAATACGTGAGATGGGTGTCAGGGAAGCTGCAAACATTACAATATATGCCAAACCATTCATGCTTAAACCATCCTGGGTGACTTGGGCGTCGTACCTTTTATTTCACATCCAATCCATCCAAAGATACAAATTGCACATAGGTATGCGTTCAATCACACCTTGGGAATCCAACTCCTAATTTCAAACTGGCCCAAGGGAGAATTTTCTGTTCCTTTCAAACCTGTTTTCACCTGCAAAGAATCGCCCGACCAATCCGGGCAAGCTGTCCTAACAATGGGTGAATATACCCAAGAGATCCCAAGAGTTTTGAAAAGCACCCGATCCGCATACAAGTTAAAACATGTTAAAACCATCCTGGGGACCCGACTTGTAGGTGGGTGTCAAATCGAAACCCGTCAAATAGAGCCTTCCAGGACGAAGGCTCCGAGGCAAAAGCCGCACACAGGAGGCGAAAAACGACCCACATCTTTGGGTTGAGGTACATACATCTTTCTAATTTCATTATATATCTTTGGGATATCTTTGGGTATGTTGATCAAACGACCCAACTCTATCAAAAACATATCTTTACTTTACCGGTCGTGAAACACTTCCTGCATCTTCCTGCGCTTGCACTAGGGCCTGACAGGGATGCACTGATCCTTCACCGGCGCACCGTCCTAAGTCGTCCAGGGTGGACCCAACAATTTGAACATCCATCAAGTAGTTCCAAGGATCCATTAATGGACCCATCAAATTTGATGATTCTTGGTCATAAACCATCCAATTTTGTTTAACTTTTGCATAGTCGGAAATCATTTTGAACCATCATTGGAATCGTGACCCTGGCAGTCGTCAAGACAAGAAAATATCCTTTAGACGTGAATTGTCTCGAGCCACAATGATATGCAAACCCGAAACGGCAAAACTTCAAGACTACTTCTTTCAAACTTTGATGCCTCCATGAACTACAATCACCTCAGGGCCCTCCAACCATGATTTCGAACTTGGTCAGCGTCTCGTTGTCGGTTTGCTGCCCTTGTGCGCGCTGGTGACATTTCTAAAAGGTGGAAGCTTGTGCTTGTTGTTGTTGTTGTTGTTGTTGTTGTTGGGAGGGTTGCAGCAACAACCTCAGGGTATAGCCAGAGCATGCTGGACCACTGCATTCTCGCATCCCAAACCCACTCCACAGGAACTTATGGAAACAACATGAGTGTAAATATTAAATTGGAACTCCTGAAGATTCAGGTAGTAGCCATGCTGCACTTGCTATATGGCCCGCCTGCTGAAGCAGCTCCAGTACCCGTGGATTCCCTGGGCCAGTCCAAGGGGATGGCTGGGAGGGCCTGCCTCACATGATGATCCTAACCCTGGCATCATTATATATAACTATATATATATATACATAAATAATCCTATACATAGTGTATGAGGGTATATATATATGTATATATATACATACATATATATATACGTATATATATACATACGTATATACATAATATATACATATATAACTTATTATATAACCATAATACGTATATATATATATCACATAATTTTAATATAATTATATATATAACCATATATATATAAGCATATACATATATATATATATATTATATATATCATCATTGAGAGTTGTCTTATTTGCCCAAAAGAACAAGACATATTGTTTTGACCTTCGTCTCATTCCCTGGCCTTCGGATGATGTTCAGCTCCATGTGCTTGATCTTTATCCGCACCAACAAGAAATACACCTGGAGCACTGGAAGACCAGGAATTTGTCCATGGAGATTGAGTGAAGTGACCCCTATGATGGAAGTGGTGAGTTGCCAATCGTAGAGGTGTGACCTCTAATTTTTCCAATCTTAGCCAATTCTCCAATCATTCCTGTCCATCGATGTCAGAATGATTTCAGTGTGTCAATTGAAGACAATCCTACCGATTACTGCAGACTTGTCCCCTTTGGCCTTTTCTGGATGATGACACATGTCAGGCAGCCCAAAAAGTGGGCTGCACTGAAAATGCCAAGCAAACCAAACAGTGGACGATCTCGGGCAAGATGTGAAATCCAGCCACCATTTTTTGTGGCTTAACACTGGGAAAATCATGCATAGTCATGCGATTCTATATTATAGTGGATCATTGAAACATATTGAAACATCTTGAAACAAATGGACCCAACCAGGAATTTGCCGTTTTCATTTGCGCAATGCCCTGGACTATCAGCTGATGTCAGCTGTGGCCTTTCCAATGATCACATCCTTCATATGGTACTTCGATTTGTCATACCTGAGCTCAAGCCGCCCATCCCAAGCCTCGTGAACCATGGGGAATGGTGAGGGAACATGCACCCAAGATGATGCACCAAGTGGCTCGAACTCGATGTGGAGACAGTCCTCAATACCCACCTGATACGCGTTGAACGGTGACCATGAAGGCCCATGTCTTGCTAGTCAGTTTACATTCCGTTTAATGCTGAACCTTGTTCATCATTTCATATTATGTCCTTTCTCTTTTATTTCAATGTTCATCAATTTTCATCATATGTCATCAATGTTCATCATGTAATGCACTATTCATTCCGTGATTTCATGGGCCATTTCCCTAAGTCCCCATCTACCTCAGCATCAGGTGTCCAATGGTGCCCAATGGCGTCCCAGTACCAAGGGCCTCCATCTTGATGTTGTTGTTCAGATCCGGGGGAGGATAAACATTCTGCACCACCATGTCCACCTGCGAGAGATGGGCTGAAGATGGCGGGACCACCATGGAAAATCCATGGGGGTGCCAGGTTGCTTTCTAGAAGTGATTAAATAAATGATGTTAAATGTATCTGCAGATATCTGCAGAACTGATGCAATCATATCAACCCATGGATCTCACGTGTGGTCCAGGGAGGCTGGGAGGCTGCCATGAAACAGTACAATATTGATGGACTGGGTTGTGGCTAAGGATTTTTGTCACAATAAGCCTCTGACATCGGCATCCCCTTGCCTTCGCCTTGCTTTAAACTTCCCGTGAGGTGTAGCAGTGTAGCAAGAACCCTTGCAAATAAGATTGCCTTCAGCACCATTTCACCAGCTAGGTCACTGCCGGAGCATTCCAACCAGGAAGACTCAGGGCGACCATAGCATAGCATGCTAGCATGTTTACAGCCTAACATCCAACCTCCTTGAAAATGTTCACCGCATAGCTCCGAAGCACCACTAGGCGTACGAAATATCGAAGCCTTCGCACGTCCAGATCTGTCCATGTCGTGTCCTGCTAGGTATTGAGACCTCCAAATATCATAGCATGAAGGAAAGAGGAAAAACCAATAATATTTTGAGATCTTGAAGATTGTTGGCCGAGCACCTCAAACATGCGTCGCTCTCCATACAAGATAATCAGTTGATATCAGTTAGGTATTGTATGGTGTAAATCAAGGGAGTATGTTGTAAATCAAAGGAACATAATCTATAATTATGTATATATATATACACACACATACATATACATATACCTCAGAAATCCTCAGAATCGGATGGTTTAATCTGATTCGATACCAGAAATTACTGGTTTTGTGGCTCCAGCGACCAGGGGTCGCCATACCCAGGCCTTACGTTGATGCCGCTGTAAGTCTCGTTCTGCTTGTCTACCTTGGTGTAGCTGTTCCCTTCAATGGCCGCACTGAGAGTGTAAAAGTTTTGCATCTGCAAGACGACCCAAAAATTCATGCCCAAAGTGGGAAAAAAACACATGATTCACTCGTCCTGAAGTGATTGGGTTTCATTGCTTTTGCAAGTGGATCTTGAGATTTTTGAGAAATCGATGCCTTTCCAACAGGTTCAGGACTTGTGTGTCCACTTGTACACACTCCGCACATTCCTCCTACCAGCTGCTGATCCAAGTACCCGCCAAACTGGCCAATAGACATTTTGATGGACACAAACCAACATCATCGACCCAAGTGGCAGCTCCAAACTTCCACTTGTACTGTTTAGACCTGGGCAAAAGAAGGGAGAAGGGTTATATAGATATTGTCCGAAAGGTCTCGTACATATAATATAACGATCGAAGTAATTGTATATAAAATTAAATATATATATATGTCTTAAAATGTGTTCAAGCAGGCCATGTTTCGATCTGCGGCTGCCCAAAAACACAGTAACGCACTTGTCAGTAACAAAAATGGAATAACCGGAACAACCCAGCCTTACATCCTTAAGCTAACATCAACACCATAATTAACAAGTCTTCCATCTCTGCCGGCTTCAGGGTCGGCTGCCAATCTGTTGGGCTGGTAGGTTTCCGGGCTCGTAAAGAGACCCTGGAGGCTCCAAATCCTAGCGAGATATGTTCAGGAGCAGTGAGACAATCATTGTGAAGCACAGTTTTTGGTTTTTCAGTCATTGTATTTTAAAATATTTTAAATATATAAATATGTTAAATGTATATATTTTTTCCTCTAGCCCATTGAGTCTTGCGACGCGGCCAGCATGCATTCTCTGTTGCCTACTTCGAGGCAAAGTCTTGACCGATGCAGTCAGAGGCTCCCAAAGCCCGGTCAAAAAGCAAATTTGCGTCCGCATCCCTACTTTTTCAGGTTATGGAGTCACAGGCTACACATATGATTATCGTACAATAGATGTTTATTTGATAAAAAATAAAGATACAATAGGCATGTGTTGATATATATATATATATGATTATATGATTATATAGTTATATCATACTACAAGCAGAATCATGCAATTCATGCAATTTGGGTACGGATTAAGCTAAGATGAACGATACAGAGCTCATAATTTTCTGTAATCTGGAAGAGGTTGAGTTTTAGACTAAGACATCAAGCAGCAAGGAACCTCAAATCTTCTCGTGGCATTTTGGAAGATGAAACGAGAAACCGCCTCATCATTTTGCTACTGGTATTGATACAACCGTGATATCTACAGTGTTTAGTTGTGTTTAGCATCAAGCTGTTTGGAGAAAATAGTGTCAACCGAAGGTTTTTAGCCACAAAACTTGGTATGCCAACCCGAATCATAACCCTCCATCCAGTGCTTTCCAGCCATGGTGATGGCTGTCAACTGAACCGGTCACATGATGCATCCTTGCAGATGGAGAAGAAATCGTACGACTGCGACTTGTCATGGAGCATATCCACCTGCATCCGTCGCCACTTTGACCAGAACTGATATCGCAACTGGACAGTTCAAAAAACTCTTCAGCCATTAGTCAAACAATTGACAGTCCTGATGATCCGCAGGTATATAAAAAGAACATGGACAGAAACGATTCGCGCCGGTTCGGGGGGTGATATGTGTTCATGTGTCATCTCTATCATGTATTATCATCTACTATATCATATATTATAATTATAATATATTATATATATATACAAACTGTGTACGTACAGTGTATATATATATATATATGTATGTATTTGCATATATATATAATTATATATATATGTATATGTAATATGTATGTATACATATACTAATATGCATTATATATGTACAACCATCTACTGACATTCTGTAGTCAGTAGTCAGTAGTCCTGCCTGGCCGATGAGTTCTACCTTGATGCCTCACAAGTTTCCGGCGCCCTTCGGAACTGGCTTGGGGCCACTAGAAAAATGTTGCCGGGCACTTTGAATCAATCCCAAATGAAATAGATCAGTAGGATCAATAGGATCAGTAGATGAATCATCCCAAATCAAGATGAATAGCAAGAGATACTTTGCAACAGCGAAGCAGTGATGGATGCACAGGTCTGTTCGTGTGCCATGCAAAAATGCCCGCTGAACACAGCAATAGGCGGACATGAGCGCTCTCATCCCACATAACGAAGAAGAAAAAACGGTGAGATGCAACACCAAACTTATCCCGTCTTATCCCAATAATCCAATCATATTTCATTAAAATCAAAAACCACTAACTTCAGTGATGCCGTGCTGCTTTGCTTCGTATCCCAATCCAATCGAAGAATCTTTATGTCCCTGAGACCTGTGACACCCCCAACCCCAACCCCAATCCATTCCCAACAGGCCTTGGTGATCCATCTTCTTGCCAGGTCTCATGCTGACCACTGCAGTGCCCATGACGTCCTGGCTGCGACCCCACTGGGCCATGGCGAAGCTCAACCGAAAGCTGCAAGCAGACGGCCTCTCCATCAGTGAAGATGTAGGCGCGCTCGCCCTTCTTGTCTTTGCCTTCCGCAAGGGTCACTCTTCGGGGACTCCTTCTTATATTACTTAACAAAAAACCATCAATGTGTTGATGGGACGGATGTGTAACTCATCTGGTATGACCGAAGTTGTTTGGTTATGTCTTGAGTGACACACACACACACACCCATAATGCGCATAATGGAAGATATTCCATGATGGTCTCACAACTGGCTGGACTGATCGGTATGAAACATCACATGAAAGCACCAAGCAGAAATGACTTGACGGATGACGGGAACCCCCGGACCGGCTCCGCCTAAGGCCGCAGTCTTGCGGTTCTGCTCCGCATCAAAAGTGATGTCAATGGAACAAACGGAACCAAAGAGGCCCCCAAGCATGGAAGACCTGCGATGGGGTGTGGGAAAGGATCCAGCTGGTGAAGTCTATCATCACATATAGGCATCTATCTATACATATATATATATATATTCTCATTATATATGCATATAATGTTTTTTTACTATCTCATGTTCTGTAAAACATATATATATAACACACATATACACACATTTTTATTTTCAATGATTGGGACTGTTGGATTGATCCAATCTCTTTTGAGCGGACTAGTATACTACCAAGCGCAAGAGACTAACAAATGGGCTGCCTCTGCCATTTCGGAACGCCAAAGCAATCGTTTTCCATGGAAGGAAGCATACGAGACCTCTCCAGGACCTTACTCCTGAATTTGACAATGGAAACTTAGGATACCTTTGGATGTTCTAGATTGGGTGATAGGTCTTGCCTGAGAGTATTGATGACTTTGGATCCTTTTTGCCTCCACTTTTGGAACCACTTGCGTGGAAGAGGGAACTTTGGCCTGAGGGATGCCCTGATGAAGATTGATGAAGTATCTTCGGATACTTCATCAATCCAAGTCATAAGGCCACAAGATCCGTGGCATGTCATCCTGGCAACCACAAAAAATGCCCTTCATTTTAGCTTGACTTGGGGACTACAGTGTATGGGAACGATGGCACCATGTAAAGAATAGGTACAGCTGATGCCTTTTCATATTCAAACCATCTTAAATCCAATTGACACAAAGACATCCAATTGCATATTTGGGTCTGGCTCCAAACACTGGTAGCAAAGGAATATGTGTGACTTTTTATTCTCAGGTTGGTGGTTTCCACCTCGTGGAACATCAGTTCAATGGGATCCAATATATTTAAAACAACTCATTCACTGGTTATATCTGGTTCATCCTGGTTCTATCACTAACAGTTACATATCAAATCCCCATCAGAATCCAAAAACTCTTGGCTCCCCAGTAGTTGGTCATCTCCAAATCATCACTTGAGGAGCCCACGACACAGAGCTGCCCAAAGTGACAGCTGACACACCTACCGACACTGTGGACGGTGCTGCCAACTGGTGAGCGCCGTTGATTTTTGATGATTTCTTGATATTGTTGGTTGATTTCAGGAACGGAATGTACTTGAAAACTTTTTCAGGATTCCGTACCTATCAGCTGGAATACTGATTTATCACCAAGCCAGACATAGGATCTGCTTTTTCATGCTAATCCAAAGTGGTCGTTCCTATTCGTCCCTAGAACATTCCATGCACTGACCATTCTCATTCGGCCCGCCTGAAACGATTCCACTTGGAGGAGGATAAACGCGGCGGTTGAGCCAAGCGGCCAGTGGATGTGTACCATGAGACTGCGTGACAACTGTGACAACGCACGGCAAAAAGGCGGTATGACACCCCATTCTGAGACTCTGACAGTCCATTTCCGACATTCAAAATCATTCAACCAAAAGTCACGCAGTATCGTAACTAAACATTCAACGGGGAACACATGGGAACACGATCTTTGAAGTGGATACAAGGTGCCCTGACCTGTGCCTACCAATCTGTCCGCTCAAAAATGGGTTGAAATACCCTATATTGAACTCCTCCTGGATTGAATGGTTTAGAAACCTTGGGCCATAAAACCCAAGCATTTTGCAGGTCCTGTCCGTTGAGTTCGGGGACATTGCGCAAGCCATCCAGTGCCACCTGCTGTCTTTTTCATGTTGAGGACGAGGATGGACCAACCGAGGTCAAGGAAATTGTGGGTCATTTCCCCATGGAAAAATCCTGAAACTCTGCAATCCATCTACTATCTCTTCAAATTCATGGCCTTGAACGATTGCGTGGAAGGCAGTTCACCCATAAAGCCCTTTTGTGTTTCTGCATGCTTGACCTGTAAAATGTCACAACCTAGTTGTTGTATGTTGTTGTCTCAAATTCGATTCTAGCCGGTTGGGACATTGGGGATCAGGGGAAACCTTCAAAAGCACCAAGTGACTGGTCTTTGCACATCGACAAGCTCTATGAGTCAAGCCCCCACAGTCAGTACCCGCCAGCGATTCCACATCTGCGGCCATTGGGATGTTATCCCACAGCTGCCACTTGAGAAAGGCAACTAGGATAGGGTAGTGTTATGGCTTTTTCATCAAAACCTATAGACTGTATTTAGTAGTTGCAAA